CCTCTTCCCCTTTTCTTAAAAATTATATTTCTGTTGCTCAATTCTATTCATGTGGGGTAGGAAAAGTGGTAAAAAATGAAGCGGGTACTTTTCTTACTAACAACTCAAGCTTTTCAGTTTGCAGCTTCATTGGGCTAAATGGCAAATTCAGATTTAAAAAAAAAGCCTTTCCAGTTGCAAAACATGTTTCCTCTAGCCCTGTTGTAAAACCGTTTCTTTTTTTTTTTTTTTCGGAAACCTCCCACGTGTTTGACATTTGAATTATTGCTTAATGTAGCAGCGTCCCCTGCTGGTGTCAGCAGTCGCAGATTCGACCTCTCCCGTAGGAAAATGCTTTCTCAGTCCACTTTTTCGAGCTTCCTCTTAGCCACCTCATGCAAATTCTGCCTAATAACACTGTAGTTTTCTGCATGGCTGTCTGTTCAGGGAGGGACAGCATGGAGGTTAGTCCTTGGCTGCCATGCATATGAAATGTCTTTTATATATTTCAAATTGATATGAAATAGATTTCTTTTCATCTCTTTAAATTATATTAGTTTTTCTTTCTCCCCATGGAAGTATAGATTCCTTGTCCATGAGGGTGACACAGAGCTCACTTTTGGTGAACATTTCTTGAAAGCTGAAATGCAGATTCAGTTTGTTAAGGTCTCGGGGTATATGTTAAGATGCTGAAAAATATTTATATGTATGTATATATACATATATGTATGTATTTAAGTACAACAGCTGTTTGGAGCTGATTCAGCTCATTGTAACATCTTGCCAGCCACCTTGAGACCTTAGCTTGGTCTTGCAGGAGAGAGAACTGTACCAAATGCAGTAAAATCTGACTGTGGCATTTTTCCAGGCCACAAGCTGTTGCTTAGCAAAGCTTTTGAACAACAGAATTAAAGCATGCAGAATTTTGAGGTTTTAAAACTTTGACTTTTACTTGTGATGAGACTTGCATCTCCCTCACAATCAAATGACTTACTTAAAACTGATCAAAAAGGTGCCATTTTTCCATGTTGCCATGGATATGTTATCTTGCAAGCTACTGTTTTGACAGACTTCAATGTGAAATCATGAGCAGTTGCTTGAGTAGGATTTGCCTATCAAGCACATTTTTGGCCAGCATTTCAGCTCATCTTGTGTGCCTTGTTTTAGTTTGGTTCAATAATGAACAATTAAACAAAATAATAGAATTGTCTGCCAGAAGGTGCTGAATTGGCGTTTCTCTTTCTCTAGAGAACAAGCATAAAAGCAGAGGTTCTGTTCCCTCAATGTCTTTTTCTCTGATATTACCCTGCTTGTACTCTTTCAGGCAGAATGCATCCATGTGTTACCTTTGTGACAGAAATGATGCTGCTAGTCTCCCAGAGGCCTCCTCCAAATGGTGTCCGATAGTTTCATAGCAGTTGTGTCATGTTTTTGTATGACATGACCTGGCTTGATATCTCAGATGTCCACATTGTGTTAGGAGCAAAGGATGCAAGGGCCTTTTGTTTCAATGAGTCTAGAGATACAATCTGTTATAATCTTTTACATAAGCAGGCTATAAGTTCCCATTACAAAGATCAGGGATGTGCCTCCAAAGTATTGTTCTGGGCTGTTTTGTGAGTAGCATAAGAAAAGGATTAAAGCAGGGGAGATTGTATTAATTCTTTTGGACACCTGTTGAAAGGCATATACTCCTTAAGTTGTCAGTCTCAACCTGGATTTTAAAAAATCAAAGGAACCTCTAAACCTATTGTGGGTGCATCATCTGGACACCTTTTCCCAAGCTCCTACATATTTAGATGCTTGAATCTGTCAGAACTCACCCTAGGGGTTGAATTTCCTGTTTTATGTCTATTCTTGTCCCCTTTAGAGTGGACACATGCCTGCAGTTCGGGTATGGGATGTGGCTGAGCGAACCCAGGTGGCTGAGCTCCAGGAGCACAAGTACGGTGTGGCCTGTGTGGCTTTCTCCCCCAGCTCCAAGTACATTGTTTCAGTGGGGTACCAGCATGACATGATTGTCAATGTGTGGTCATGGAAGGTAAGTTTTCTAGGAGAATGAGTGGACTACAAGGTGTTGCTTGAATTAAAAAGAGTTGACAGTCTGACTGTAAACTATGTAATTTCTATCTTGCTTTCTGCTTGTTTTTTAATTCTGTAGTTATTGTTTGTTTTTTGACATTCATAGACACAGATGAGTTTGGACATGAGCGAAAGCTATGGGCTCTTAGGGAAGGTCTTAAGTAACTTCTAAAGGGATATTGTCTATAGTTGGATACATGCGACATCTTGCTGTCCAGCCAGAAAAGCCTGGACTTTGAAACTTTGCCAAACTGTTGTGCTTTTTAGGTGCTTATTAAAAACTGATTTATGAGGTTGAGGAAGGAAACTCTCATCGGCCAGGGATTTCTTTTGTTAGGGTAGTGGATGCTCTTGGCTTTTGTTTTGGTTATGTCAGTTTGTCATAGTCTGATCCCAGCCTTGATGGGTGAGAAGGGGAACACAGAGAATTCATAGTGGGTGAAAGCCGATGGAAGTCAGCCACAGTCGATCCAGTCTGCCAGTGGAGTGGGGCAGCACTCAGTAGAAACAAAGCCCATGTCTTATCCTCTAGGAAACATTGAAGCATTTGTTATTTGTAGGTAAGAAAATATACACTTATTGTCAGTAGGCTTTGAATCTTCTCTATTAATAAATGCTAGGCACTTATTCAGCTCCTGCTACTTCTTCAGGTGCTGTAATCCTCTCTAAAAGAGATGTGACTGTTTTGAAAAAATTTAAGTGTATCTGTTAAATCTCACAGGATCATAGAAGGGTTTGGGTTGGCATGGACATAAGGATCATCTAGTTCCAGCTCCCTGCCATGGGCAGGGACACCTTCCTCTAGACCAGGTGGAAACCCTGTCAAAGCCCCATCCAGTCTGGGCTTGAACACTCCCAGGGATAGGGCATCTACAGCATCTTTGGGAGCCTGTTCCAGTGCCTCACCATCCTCACAGTAAAGAATTTCTTCCCAATATTTAACCTAAATCTACCCTCTTTCAATTTAAAACTATTACACCTTGTCCTATCACTGTACTTCCTGATAAAGAGTCACACCCAATGTTTCCTGTAGGGCCCCTTGGGTACTAGAAGGTTGCTATAAGGTTTTCCCAGAGCCTTCTCTTCTCTTGCAGCTTGTAAGTCCATGCTCACTTAGTGTGTTACTCTCTTCATCACATTTCCTGTGCTGCAATTTAAGATCTCACTGTTGTCTTTTACGTGAGCTGAAGTTTGACCTTGCTGGGTTTTTTTGTACAGCTGAACTGTGCATGGTGATAAAACCTAAGTGTGTATGTCAGTGTTGAAAACTGAGTGCTCAGCCTTTTGGTTCTTTCTAGTTAAGCAAATTAAAGTAGTGACTTGGAGAGGGTCACAATGCATGGCATGTGTGGGGCGGTACAAGCAGCTTTGTTTTCCCTTGCTTGTGCAGGTTTATTCTGTTCACTGTGATCCTATTTATAATTACGCACAGGAGAGCTTGTGAGGTAAGGACTGTCTCACTCTTCTGTGCTGAAGAATACACACTTTAAGCGTATGCTCCAAACCGTGACTGTCAGGAGGTTCAGCTAGACTTTATTTTGAAGGCTGGACACCAAAGCTAGAAAGACTTTACCTGACCAAAGTCAATGAAGACTGGGAGACCAAGATGTGAATACAGATCTCCTGAAGCATTTTCCTGCCCTTTTAACCACAACCCTTCTTCTATCCTCTGTGCTGCTGCTTTGATTTCCCTGTTTTTCCTGGGTAGGAGATGTAGTCATTTGACTGTGATGAAAAACAAAACCCATGTTGTCTGTAGGGTTCCCTTGCTTCCCTAAAGAAAGACCACAGCAGTGGTCCAGATGTTGAGGTCTGCAAGGGTCCTAAGCCTCTGTGTGCTGGTCTACATATGCATTTGCTGTTTAGAAAGGGAAATGGGTTTGCCCTGAATTGTTGGTGATTGTGAAACCATGTTTATCATGGCTTAGACAGGAAGTTTCTGCAGGCACTAGTGCCTCTGATTTTTTCTTGATCACAGTCAATGTTGAAGTGGAATTGAATATAAATGTGAATTACACTGTCTGCCAAATCAATGCTCCCAGCTAATGCTGGGCAGGTTGTATTCGGAGGAGAATTGGGAATAGTTTGGGCCTTGTCTTTTTCCTGCTGCAATGCTTGTACTGGATATATGCCTGTAATTGAAATTGGTTTCCTTTGCTTCTGCACAAAGAAATGAAGCAATCTAAACAATTGTGTTTCCAGAAAAACATTGTAGTGGCAGCCAACAAGGTCTCAAGTAAAGTGACAGCAGTGTCATTCTCGGAGGACTGCAGTTACTTTGTTACTGCTGGAAATCGGCATATCAAGTTCTGGTACCTGGATGACAGCAAAACCTCCAAGGTGAGAGAAAGTACATCAAGGCCAAGCTGTGAACAGGCATTTCCATCTTAGGGCAGCATGGGTTTTGCCCCAGTGAGCTGTGGGAAGTGGGAACTATGGTTTTTCTGGGTTTCAAGGACAGTATTCCACCCCTGGCTCTCATGCATCAGTCTCCCCATGGGCTGGTAGCACCAAAAGCTTGTGTCCTGTCATGCACTGAGGCAGGAGCATGGCTCCTGGAGTTGCATAGCAGCATGCCTGTTCTGTAGCAGCCACATATATGGAAAGACTAATATATTAGAAAAGAGCTGCAGTCATTGAACTCCTTGGAGCACAGAGGTGGGGAGAGCTGTATGATATTGGCATGAACATCTCAGTAGGTTGTGAGTGTCATTTAGAAATGTCAGCCAAAGTGTTTTAATTTTTAGCTGTTTAAGTGTTTAAATTTTTAACTCTGGGGGACAGAGCTGACAGCTGTCTGCTGATGAACTGTTGTAAACATGAACAATATGTCACTACCTCACCTTGTAGGCTGTTGGCAGCTCCTTCTTTGGGTCACTTCAGTCCTTAAGGCTTGATGACCTGAAAAATTGTGAAGTGCCTTGCTGTATTTCCTACAATTCTAATTCTAACAATATCTGTTTTCTATTGGTAGGTCAATGCCACAGTACCCTTGCTAGGTCGCTCAGGATTGCTTGGAGAGCTGAGGAACAACTTCTTTGCAGATGTGGCTTGTGGACGGGGCAAAAAAGCTGACAGCACCTTCTGTATCACATCCTCAGGGCTGCTCTGTGAATTCAATGAAAAAAGGCTGCTAGACAAGTGGGTGGAGCTGAGGGTAAGTTTACATCCTCCTATTCTGCAGTATTTGTGCCTGCTGAAGCAGAGCAGGAACAGCAGTTAATAAGGGAACTCAGAATGCAAGCTGACCACCAGCAGTAAGAGTCATTGGGCCTCTGCCACTTAATGATTTACTCTGAAAGGTCAGGCAAAAATAGCGATGCCTCTTGGCAGCAGGATTTTGTTGATCATTGAGGCACTTTCATTCTCAGGCCTCAGCATTACAGCTACTGCTCTTCTGGCAAAGCAGTGTCCTTCTGTAGCTTTGACAACCTCTGTATGATCTTTCCTGGCTTGGCCTAGACAAGTAGGTGTTTTAGAAGGATTCTGATTTCTATCCACTCTGCAGTGTCTTACTTGGCTTGTGCATCTTAAGTGTAGGTTCTCGAAGGTATTAATTAGTTTGGCTACTCTAAACCACCAGGTTGGCTCACAGTTAAGAATTTAATGTAACATGCCCACCTGAAAGGATCCAGTATATTAAAATCAAGGGGAAAAAGTCTTTCCACGCTTTCACTCAAGTGAAACACCTCTTCTTTTCTTTCCTTTCCTCTCTAAAATCTGCCTTTCACTCTCGCTCAGAATACAGACAGCTTCACAGTAAGTTGAAAAAACCTTTTGCGTTGAACTCATCCCCTTTTCACCACACTCCATTTTGTACCATTTTCTGCCATTTGTACAGATCCCAAAGGGAGGGGAAGAAAATCTGTTTTTTCTTTTCTTACCCCCTTGAGACAGGTAATGTGTTGGTGTGCTAGTACAGGGTGAGGTGCTGCTTGTCTGATAGTGGTGTTGAATGTCACAGGAACAAAAGCAATGTTCAGAGTAGGACTCAGCTGGAGCAAATGTACATCTCTGCTGACCTTCTGACGCAGTGGGTGTTAGAGGAAGTGGGCTTTTTTTAAACCACTTGGAATCTGCAATGGACCTTGGCTGGGAAGCTACTCAGAAAGGAAAAATAGATTTTTAGGCTTTTCCTTACTCTAGTGGTGTTGAATGTCACAGGAACAAAAGCAATGTTCAGAGTAGGACTCAGCTGGAGCAAATGTACATCTCTGCTGACCTTCTGACGCAGTGGGTGTTAGAGGAAGTGGGCTTTTTTTAAACCACTTGGAATCTGCAATGGACCTTGGCTGGGAAGCTACTCAGAAAGGAAAAATAGATTTTTAGGCTTTTCCTTACTCCCAGGGTTCGACTTCAGCTCTTCCGTCTTCCGACCATGTCTCCTTTGTCTGTCAATTTTTTATTCTCCCTGTCATGTATCTGGTGACGTTTGATATGTGAGATCAATGCTTATTCACCTTCTCATGTGCTGTGTCCTCCTCAGACCACTGTGGCAAACTGCATCTCTGTGAATCATGACTATATCTTCTGCGGCTGCGCTGATGGCACCGTGCGGATTTTTAACCCTCTGAACCTTCACTTTGTCACCACCCTGCCGAAGCCACACTTCCTGGGAACAGACATCGCGAGCGTGACTGAGGCCAGGTACCATGGAGAAGGGTGGAAGGGAGCCAGGGAGGCTGGTGGGGGTTAGAACTGCTCCCCATACCTTTGCCATCTGTAGCATGCTCTTTTTATGGATTAAAATTGGCAACCTGTTGCAGATCTCTCTGAGCTGTTGCAGCCTTGACTTGTGTGGCTGGGCCACAGCCCAAAGCTGGTTGCTGGACTGCACAGCATATTTTGCTCCTCATCTCCCTGGGATTTCTCAGGTCTGGTGGTCTTTTGGCATTCATTGCTATGAGCAGGCAGGCAGAGGGCACAGGATGCTGTGGCACACTTCTGTTGTTCTTGTGCAATGGCACATCCTTTGCTTGTCACTGGTGAGGACTGCAGACTCTCCTCCATTGCAGTATAATGATCTTGCTAAAAGATGCTCAGGCTCTCATGGGGCACTTTTTCAAAGGCTCCCTTGCAATCTTTTATAGACCAGAATCTATTGCTGTTTGTAGTCTTTCTTCTCCCTCAGTCTTGTGCATTCTGTTGTCTTGCTTTCCTGCCTTGATCCAATATCTTTCCTTGGCTTTCTGTTTCTTATCTTCTGGTGTGGGTAATGTGATTTCTGTACAGCTCTGTCTGCCAGCTTGCAGAGGCTTATGCTAGAGAAAACCCTTCATGTGTTGCTGTTTGTCAGTCCTGGTTGGAGGCTTTCCCAGTCATCTACTGTTGCCCTCTTTCACTTCTGTGACTAGTATGGAAAGAAATCTGAAGATGTATGAATCCACCAGCCATCATTGTACTGGATATCTGGAGTCACCATGTCACAGATATACTCTTTTGTTGGTTTCTTGTTATCCACACACACACACACCCCCGCCTTATTTATTTATTTATTTATTTATTTATTTACTCACATTTTTTCTATACTTTTCTTGGGAACTTGAGGTATAAGTTCAAACAGTGTATTGTATAATCATCCTCCAGAAAATAAGTAGGAGATAATGACGTTTCAGTAAGGGAGCTAGAAAAGAAACTGGCTCAGTTTAAAATGTAAACACTTTCTGGTAGTGCTAAAGTCAAGCAATTGCATACATGGACCTTTTAAAAATATTCTCTGCTGCTCTCGTGCATCAGTAGTCAAGCAGAAATATTCATGTGGTTCTTAAACATTGGTATGTAGTGCTGATTACAATCTAAACAACATTTTCAAACTAATTTTATTACTTCCAAAGAAGCTTGAAAATACAGGACTCCTTGTATTCCTGTGCATGCCAGAGTCTCTCTGTGTGATGCCAGTTGCCTGCAAAGAAGTGCCTACACCTGTATCAATGATTTCATTTCTCAGTAGAATCTGGAATGTGCTCTTCCAGCCTCCAAACCTGTGCACTTGCAGAAGAAGGGCTCCAGTTGTCTGCTGCACTATTTCCACTTTGGTTCCATCAGTCCTTTTAAATTGTTCTCAACACCCTGACACTCTGGTTGTAATGACCTTGCTCAATAGCATTAACAGCATTGTGACATGGCTGAGTTCAACTCAAGTGAATAGAGCAGCTCCTTTACATGCATGGCAGCAGGACTGAACAGAGAGCCCCTGTAGAGGAGATACAGGGCTCACATGGCATGATCTTGGGTCATACGTGGGAAAAAAGATGTTTACTTGTTCTTCAGAATTCTTTTTTAAGTTTGCATCAGAGAGCTTGTCTGTCTAGAAAGGACTGTACCCATCTGCAGTTGCCCATTTCACAGGCTACTGCAAGCAGCACTGTGTTGGCCTGTGTGTGGGGCAGGGGTGGAAGGGAAACAGGGCAGACAAGTGGCCACTGAAATGAACCATTCCTTTGTCCCTTGCTCTGATGTGCTCCTGTCTTTTGAATGCGGTACTTATTCTTCTGCTTGGCAAGAGCAGTTCCTGCTATCAGTAAACAAAATACAGTACCCACCAAAAGATGATGCTGCCCTCCCTTTTGTTTTGAGATTATTTGATTTGGATTTTACCACTCAGTAATGCAGAGGAAATTATGATGATTTCCAGTAATTATCAAATGTCGTCTTCAGCCCTTCTTTAGGGAAAATCAGTCAGCTGTCTGTGGTGGGTATGTTTGTGTGACTTTTGCTGTGGGACCTTGAGGCTTCTTTTGGGACTCTATTCAGGAGACAGGTTTTCCCAGCCAGCTACTCTCTCTACCTATATATGCCACAGTGTATTGTTTCCCTCAGCAGTGCCCTGTGGAGAATCTGAGCTCTCATGCTTCACCTCCTTGCCTTGACTCCAAGCGAGCACAAGGTAACCAGGATGTTGTTCTCCTTTTGTGCAGCCGTCTTTTCTGTGGTATGGCTGATGCGAAGTATCCAGACACTATTGCCTTGACCTTTGACCCCAGTAACCAGTGGCTTTCCTGTGTATACAATGACCACAGCCTGTATGTGTGGGATGTCAAAGACCCGAAGAAAGTGGGCAAGGTGTACTCTGCTTTGTACCACTCTTCCTGTGTGTGGAACATTGAGGTATGTTGTCTGTAGACACAAGTGTTGGATTGCAAATTGCAGCTGAGGAAGTCTTCTAACGAGCTGCCAAATTTGAATGCAAACACTTACTGCAGAGAGAAAGAATTGACTCAAATTTTCTCCTGTGGTTACTGTGGCTGCTACAGGGCCTAAGTTGGTGTTGGGAACAGCTGTTTGGCTGCACTGCAATGGCTGACCAAATGTGTGAGAGGCAGTGTGCTAATGGGAAAAAAAGTCTCACCATTAAAAGGTGAGAGGTGAGAGAAGGAGCAGAACTGGGAAGCTGAATGCAGGGGCTCCTTTCAGAAAATGCACAAGAGTTTACTGCTGACCTCAAAAAAAATTTTGTTTGAGGTCTGTGGTGAGCAAGTGCTCCAAAGAAAGAAGAATGAAACAAGTGCTAAGATCTGATCTCTGATCCTTCTTAACCTATTTACCAGAACATCTGGAAACAGCCTCTCAAGTGGCTGTCATCTTTCAGTCTGTTTAGATGGCTTTCCCTCAGAGGGACAGAAGGAAGGAAAAAAGTTATAGGAAACAATCTTGTTGTTAATATGTTGAAATATGTTTAAGAGTGGTCAGGAAAGGGGGAAGTGGAAAGAAAGTGGGAAGAGCTAAGGACTCTTATTATTTATCAATTGCATCTCACCCTTTTATTCTGAATTGTAAATTGACAGTAGTAGATGAAATGTGCAAACAGCACTGCAGGGTTGTTGTTGCAAGGTCAGTGTTGCATGGTCTTTGAGGTGCTCTCTTTGAACTATTAGAAACAAAGGATGCTGGCTTGTTGCACACTTCTTAAGGAGATTTTCTACATTCAGAGAAGTTCAGTGAACATTTGTTTGAAGTGAATATGAAACTCTGTTCTGCAAATAGGTTTTCATTAGTACTGTCTGGTTTTCACCTTTACAAAACAGAGGACAGCCCTTTTGTCTCATTTTGTTTTGAAACTTGCTACCAGTGTCTAGGATGCCAGGTGCCAGGCAATCTCATTCAGGGGTTGATTTTACCTGCCCTTAGATGTATCCAGAGGTGAAGGACAACAATCAGCCATGCCTCCCCCCTGGTTCTTTCATCACCTGCTCCTCTGACAACACCATCCGCCTGTGGAACACAGAAAGCTCCAACATCCATGGCACAGCTCTGCACCGCAACATCCTCAGCAATGTAAGATCCTAGGTTTTGATCACCTCCTTGCCCTTGGGGTTGCTCTTCCTCATGTACAGGTATTCCCAAGTTAAGGCCTAAACTTCTTTGGATCTCTTAAGTCAACATAAGCTTCTCTGTAAACTGAGCACAAGCCTGGTTAAGTGTATGAACCTGAAGAAACATGAAGGAATTATTGGGTGGAATGACGGTTTGTCTGAAATGGTTCTGGGGACTATTACTGCTTTCATAAACCACCCAAGGATTCACCAAGCTTAGTCTCTTCCATAAGGGTCATGTGCTTCAGGAGAGCTGTTTCTCTTTTGTCCATGTCTGTAATGTGTAACCACTTTAAGATTTGTTTGGAAAAGGTCTATTAAATGAAGCAGAGATCTGGGAGAATTGAAAGAGAAACAATTTACGTTCACTTCATCTATATAACAGGGAGGATACTCATACAGAACAGTGATGGACATTTCCTTCTGTTCTCAGTTATGTTGGAGGATCCATGGGCACAGCATCCCTGATCTCCAAAATCTGCTCATGGTGGAAGAAACTCTGGCTTTTTCTGTCAGTTCACAGAAGGCTGATTTAGATGATCCCTAAAAGTCTTTCAGATTCCTCCTGTGTCGTCTAATATGTTATAATCACTAACCCCAGAGATTGTCTGTAGTGCAGGAGATGCTGTTAGTTTCTAGCTTGAAGGGAAACATGCAGAGGATGATCGTAAGATGCAGCTGTTAAACTTTCATCCTACAATATGGAGAGGTTTAGTGCTTGCTCCTAGCTAAAAAAGATCCTGTCAGTTACGGTATTATTGCAAATAAAGTGTGTATGTTGGCCAGGAACCAAGTTTCTAAGGCAGATGCTTTGGTTTAATATTTTGTAACTAGTAAATATTTCTGGGTGTATTGTGTCCCCAGGACTTGATGAAAATCATCTATGTAGATGACAACACTCAGGTACAGGTTTAGTGCTTGCTCCTAGCTAAAAAAGATCCTGTCAGTTACGGTATTATTGCAAATAAAGTGTGTATGTTGGCCAGGAACCAAGTTTCTAAGGCAGATGCTTTGGTTTAATATTTTGTAACTAGTAAATATTTCTGGGTGTATTGTGTCCCCAGGACTTGATGAAAATCATCTATGTAGATGACAACACTCAGGTACTTCTGGACATCAGCAGGAAGTGCAGACAAAGCTGATGCACAAGTGATGGATACGAAGGTGGGGATACGCACTGTGTGTGTCAGTCCCAGTGGGGAGCACCTGGCCTCGGGAGACAGGATAGGCACCCTCAGGTAATCCCATAAAGCTTCTTGTGCAGATTGCAGGCTGGTCAGGCATGAGAATCAAAACCAGGTCTTGCTAATTTTATTAAACATACTGAAATAAGCCATGTTGTGTCTTAGGATATATGAGTTGCAGTCTCTGAAGGAAATGCTGAAGGTGGATGCCCATGACTCTGAGATCCTATGTCTGGAATACTCCAAACCTGATACAGGTAAATGCAATTGAGCTGCTTCTCTTTTGCATATGAATGTAGTGTTGGGCAAGTCAGAATATACAGCCATGGTGTGTCAGAATTTTCAGTGGTGAGCTACTTCTGGACTTCAGATCAGGCTTATGTCATTGGGCCAGTAGAGCCAGCCTTTGAAAAAGGCTTTTTTTCTCATAGTTTTCCTTGGAATGTTGTAGTTGAGATTGCTACTTTTCATTGGAATACTGTAGACTGAGATTGCAACTTATTCTGCTTATTGTTATAGTGTGAAATCCAAGGGTGTTATTTTGTGTCCATCCATGCAGTTAGCTGCAGTCCCTAAGATGACTTGAGAAGCTGTTTCTAAAATAATTTTTTAGTCATGATCTTCCACTCTTTTTACCTTTCTGACAGGTTTAAAGCTCTTAGCCTCAGCCAGTCGGGATAGATTGATTCATGTCTTGGATGCTGGAAAAGACTATAGCCTGCAGCAGACCCTGGATGAACATTCTTCTTCCATCACTGCAGTGAAGTTTGCAGGTAGAGAATCATAGCCTCCCTCCAAAGCTAGATTTGAGCGCTGCCGTGTTCCCATTACCGTAAAGTAATTTTGACTACTTAAACACTGAACTAGGCCAGTTTAAAGCTGAGGATGGTTGGTTTTTTTTCATCTTTTGTAGCTGCAGTCCTAACATAAGGTGATACTTGATGGTACTTGCCCCCTTTTTCCTTTTTGTTTTCTTCTCCTCTCCTTCCTACCCACTCAAAAAACCTCTCCTGATTGAAGTCCTCAGCATTTCTTTGGAAAGCTGTTTTCTATAATGATTTACTCCCTTTAACTGATGTCAGATGGCTACATACTCTCCTTAGTGAAGAGAACTGTCATTGCCCAAAAAAATCCACAAACCCACCAAAAAAGGTTTTGGGATTAACTAGTCACAAGTAAATTTGTCATGGCAAACCAGTGTAAGACTTTATATTCATAGTAATGGAGAATGTTGCATCCCTAGCACTCAGTTACTGCTGATGGTCAGACAACAGTGTGCTGTCTTGTGCTATTGTTGGGAACAGCAAGGGTTGGCTGCTCTGTCAGGAGGAGCTGATAGCCAGGGGTGACAGGAAGACAGGCAACAGTAGTGGCCTCACTGGCAGTGGGAAAGTCCCACAGTACCTGAACAGGGTGGAACGGATCAAGTCCAGTGGCAGTAACTAGATCCAGCCAGTAGTGTGGATCACCTGACAAATCCATAGTGATAAGGTCTTGATCAGTCTGGAGATGGTGGTCAGGGTCAGCCACAGTTCAGTGCCTGCCAGGCAAGCCCATGGCAGCAAGACAAGCTCAAATTCAAATCAGAAAGCTGAGTCTGTGGGTCAGGGTCAGGATTTGGTTCAGTAAGGTATGTGCCCAGTCACAGGTGTGGCTGCTATGCTGCTGCAGTGTAGCTCAATTGGGGCTCGAGGATGAGAACCTCAGTTTGAAAACAGCTCCTCAGTGAAGAGACCTTACTTGAAGCTTCGTAGTACAGGCTCCCCAAAGCCACTGTGAGGCTTTTTCAAGATCTTTTCTTGAGGAGCTCCAAGGCCAGTAAAAGCTTCTCTGACAGGTCTGTCTTATCAGTGAGGTGGCCTTGAATGCAACCAGCTGAACTCTCGGGAGATGAGGGAACTGGGCTCAAGGCCTGGCAGCTAGAACCTTTGTGCTGGTCTGTGAGCCAAGTGTAGTCGTGCTCAAAGTGGGTGCTGTTCAAGGGGCTTGCATGATATGGGATCTGTTTTCATTACCTGGAGTTTTCCTAGGTGTTACATTGCTGAAGGAGCAGATTGGTTACAGAAGAGTGCTAAGGGAAGAAGGGAAGCCTGCCCTTGCAGTAAGAAAGGGCAGCAAGAAACATGTGACTGACTCTTAGGTCTGAAAATTGCCTATTGCCTGTTTTCAGCTCATACTGAGTGTGAACATGCCTTATTGCCACAGGGTGCTGTGCCACATAGGGACTCAGCATTTGTCAAGCCTTTGTTTAAAGGCCTCTTGCACTCTGAGCATTAACAACAAATTCTGTCCCTGAGAAGGGGCTTCTGTTTTGCTGCTTAGGGAGGAGTCAGGCTTAGCTAATCAGGACTGGAATAAAGAGCAGTGGTATAAATTGAAACATTTCCTCCACCATGTATCTGTGTTTATCTTTTGATTGGCTCCTGCGTTTTTGTTCCAGCCAACGATGGGAAAGTGCGAATGATAAGCTGTGGGGCAGACAAGAGCATCTATTTCCGCACTGCACAGAAGGTAACCTTATTACAGCTTTTTGTGCACTTTTAATTAATAATCTCTCCACAAAGGAGCAACTTCAAAGAATATCAGAGGTTCTGTATGAGCTTGTTGCTATTTCAGCCTCAGTGTCTCTCATTGACTCCATACAAGAGATTACATTTGGAGAACTAGTTTTGTGAAGCATGCAGCTGCTCCCAGCCTGACCTCTCACAGCAAGATGTGAAGTAGGGAACTGTCAGGATATGTTTTTCTTTCACTGCCAGAGCTGTGAAAGAAAAACCCCTTCACTGAGGAGGGGTGAAAGAGTATGGGCTGGAGGGAGGAGTTCATTGTGCCTCCAGTCCCAGCTGCTCTCAGCAGCTCCCTGGGAAGTGTTGCTTTGTGCTGGCTGTGTGAGAAGACTCATCTGTATTTAGCAGTATTAATAATGTGTTGAGTACTTAATTTTGACACAGTCTTTACCCACATGTTTAGACGGGAGAAGGGGTTCAGTTCACCCGAACGCATCACATTGTTAGGAAGACCACTCTGTATGACATGGATGTGGACCCCAGCTGGAAATACGCAGCTATTGGATGCCAGGATCGTAACATCAGGTTAGTTGACTTTTTGTCTTGAAAATATTTTTGCATTTGTAAAAGAGGTGGCCCCATCTCCATCATTGTTCCTCTAGGTTATTTGATGTAGCATTTTCAGACAGATCTGAGACCTCACTTCACACTGTGAGGTTGAACTCACTGATAAGAAACTGTGAATATGTGCAAATGCCCATGGGACTCTTGACTTCTCATTGGGTTGTTCTGCAGAGTAAAGCCTTTTTAGTGGGAGAGCAAGTGTGCCTTCCTTGGCACATCATTGAGCTGTGGCACAAGAACTTCTGCACTGAGGTAATTTTTCTGTTTAGGGGTACGTCTAGTGACAAGCTGTGAGGTCCTGTGGAATAGATGTGACTGTAGGAACCTAAAACTCAACTAGGTGTGACTGTCTTTGGACAAATGGAGTCTATTCTCTGCTCCCTTTCAATCCATTTCTCCAATCTGTCTTCTTGAAAGCAAAGGAGACTCTCTGTAGTTGTGTGTCTCTTCCTATTGTAGCTGGATGAGATGTTGAGAGAGTTTTGGTCATAGATAAATATCACTACTGGATGTAATTTGGTTTTGTATTCTAACATAAATAAAGCTCTCTTAATCTTTAATGTGAAGGAAACACAGGTATTTTACAGCAGGAAGGACTGATTGATTATTGGCTTGAGAATAAAACCTCAGTTTTAATTCAGATAATCTGCTTGGTGTCATATCATCTAGTATTGGGCCTCTACATTACTTTAGAGATGGTTTTTTGAACCATTTAAATGATTCGTGGTTATAGGTCATGGAGATAATTTCTCCACTTTCTGTGGCTTGGCCCTGTTTCCTCTATCATGTGGAATGAAGAACAGGGAGAGAAAAGGATCCTGGTGACAAGAGCCCTAGAGCAGTACCTGGGCAAAATGAGCCATGTTATTTTATGTCATCCCCTTCAGGGTTTTCAACATAAGCAGTGGGAAGCAGAAGAAGCTTTACAAGGGATCCCAAGGTGAAGATGGCACCCTTATCAAAGTAAGCTGTTTTCTTTTTCTTTCATTTTTTCTCGCTTTTCTGAATGCAGTTCAGCACCAAGAAAATTAAATACAAGCCTGAATACAGATTTATTTTTTTAAATTTTATTTCTTCTTGCTCCATATTTTGTCCTTTACTCTGTTGCTGCTTCCTCCTTAATGCTATCCTTAAGGGCTGGTAATGTATTTGGGTTCCATCAGGCTAAAACAGGAAAAGAGGCAGTGAATGCTGAAGTTGATGTATGACTCTTCTCTCTGTCCTCTTTTGTAAGTGAGTCACAGGCCCATGTTGTAAAAACAAATAGAACTGCACCAGTATCTGTCAGAAGATGATTTAATCCATTTAATTTAATCCTTTATTTTCTGCTCCAGAGAGCTCATTCTGGCTTTCTTGACTGTTTTTGTCAGGATTTTTAAGGTGGAGATGCCTGCTGATCAGTGTTTCTGAAGTAGTTTTCAGAGAGCAAATACAAATGAAACTCTTTGAGTTGATAAAATTAAGTAGCATCTGTCCAGAAAAGCAAGAGTCTTGGACTGCTGGACAAGCCTGGAAGTTGCTTAGAGAGAGTCTGTTCATGTTTCCCACCTGCTGAGTGCATCCAGGCCTTGGGGTAGGGTAGCACACCTGCTTCTGCCACTACCAGGGCTTACCCTGGTAAATCAGGTGTGTTTAAGATTCAGATTTAAGAGTGATGCCAGTATATTGAGATGTGGAAGAATTGCATTCTTGTCTTTAATGGGTAAAAACCAGCTGACACAACCAAAATATCCCCCAAGTTGCCAAACAAGTGTCATTGTAATTTTTTTTCACTGCTAATTTTTCTATTTTTTTAAATAAAATACTTCTGTTCATCTGCAGAGGTCAGCATTATTATTAGGGACTGGAAGGAATGTCCTGTGAGGAGCAGCTGAGGACTTTGGGCTTGTGTAGTTTGGACAGGAGGAGGCTGAGTGGTGATCTCATTGCTCTACAGCTTCTGAGGAGGGGATGCGAAGAGGGAGGTGCTGAGCTCTTCTCCCTGATATTCAGTGACAGGATGCATGGGAATGGATCAAAGCTGCATCAGGGGAGGTTTAGATGACAATAGGAAGCATTTCTTTACTGAGAGTTTGGTCAAACACCCTAGAGTGGTGGTCGATGCCCCAAGCCTGCCAGCATTGAAGGTGTGTTTGGACGATGCCCTTAATAACAAGCTTTAATTTGGTCAGCACTGGATTGGTCAGGCAGGAATAGAAGATCATTGTAGTTCCCTTCCAGCTGAAATTATTGATGCATGCAAATAACTGGGTAAAAAAGGGAGGGGAAAACAAACAATTTTGTTCAGGGTCAGCTCTTCTGTTTTACAGAGAAAGATAAGTTCACTTTTTCTTTGCCTGTTGTAAATCCTACGAAGTTTTATATAAACCAGAGTAATGAAAATGAGAAATTAATGCTACACCTTATTGCTGATAAGCTTAGGTGCTTGATTATATCTTTCTCAGACCAGAAACCATGAAATGTGCTGAGAGTTTTTTTTCGTTTATAATACCTTTTATGGGGTTTTGTGGAGGTTTTTTTTGTGTGTGCCTCAAGCAAGGAATCTCTATTATTTTTAATGTTGCTTGGCTTATTTTTAAGACAATTATGCAACCAAGGGATTATGGTTGTCTCTGGAATTTAAACTTTTTTGGCATGTTGTTCTGAGATCATAATATACATTGCAGTTTAATGAGTAGAAACCAAACAGTGATACTGGAAGCAACAGATACAGCAATAAAATAAACATAACAAAAAGAAAAAGTTAACTACTGCTGCAGACATAGTGAGGAATTTGGAGGGGGATTTATATTTGATCCAAGATAAAGCAACAAACAGGTGCACATGAAAAAAAACCAAACAACAAACAAACTAGCCCAAAAATGGTAGTTGCAAATGCTGGAGATTTGACAGCATCATCACCAAAGAAAGTTTCTTGGCAGTGTTGAGTTTTGGTGGTTTTTTTTGGTTTGTTTTTTTTTTTTTTTTTTTTTGTTTGTTTGTTTGTTTCTCTCCTCAAGATTGGAATCTTTTAATATTTCACTTTTTTTTTGGGGTGTGGGTGTGTGTGATTGGGGGGGGGGGTGTATTCTTGTTTTGTTTTAATCTTATAATAGGAGAAAGAAGATCCAGTGGTTAAAAGAAGGTTGGAGAGAGAGATGTAACTCTGTCCATTGGTGGTGGTGTCTTCAGTCATGAAGGCATTTAATTAATGTACCTTTAGTCTCTGATTAGGTCGGAGATAGTCTTACAAGTTTAGTCAGGTTGGAGATTGGGATGCTGGATAGTATGGTACTCAGGTGGAGTCCTGTGGGAGCTACTTGCCTTTTATTCTGTTTACTTTGGCTGCCTTGAATATTCTGGACCATTTTCATGTAGTTTGAATGTACTTTCTCACCAGATCTTTGCACTCCTCTTGTCTCCTGAACCAGGTGCAAACAGATCCCTCTGGTCTTTATATTGCAACCAGTTGTTCTGACAAGAACCTTTCCATCTTTGATTTCTATTCTGGCGAGTGTGTTGCGACGATGTATGGGCATTCAGGTATGG